ATTTAGCACAGCAGTTGCTTGTGTGCAAGGAGAAAGGATAGTAATGAGGAGGCTGTTTTCTCTGTTTAAGGGATACTGCAACTGCATGATCTGCAGAGATGGGCATCTGCAGGAGCGGCACCACCTTGGTAGGGGAGCACCAGTGATATGTAAGACAGTGAGAAGCTTATTTTCACCTCCTTTTTGTGGGAGTTGGCTGAGACAGAGTGTGGTTACAGTGCAACCCTACTTCTGCACAACAGAGGTTTTTTGGGGTCATCTGCAGGTGTTTTATGCCCTATTTCTGTGCTAGCACAATGGCAGCACTGCTCTGTACAGGTAAAAAGTTCAGCAGCTTATGGAGAAAATGTTATTCCCCAGCAGCTGCTCATGAATTCTTATGTGCCAGCAGCAGTGCATGAACCATTCTTTGTTACAAGATAAAATCTGACAGAAAAGCATAGCTCCTGACAGAAAAATCTGATGCAATTAAGTTTCTGTGCACAGCTCATAAACTTTGATATGGCAAATAATAGCTAAAATTGATCTTAAATCCAACATTAAAAAAAGTACCCAAACCCTCCACGTTCCACCAAATTGACTCCAGGTATCCATCTATGCTGACTTTGTATAGGCAGATCATGTTTTACTTTTAAAGAGAAATATTAGCCAACAAAGGAAAAAAATAGGACAGTGTGGATGAATTTCAGGCAAAGGTGAGTTTCTTGCACTGCTTGGAATTAGCAAAAAGTAATTCTGTGGAAAAAGCTGAACAAAAATGACAGGCTAGCTCTGAGGGATGTCTCTTCTTGGGTCAAACACTTAAGTAAAGCCAAAGCCATATACTTGATTTTATAACCAGTTTAGATCACACAGCTTTAATTGGGAAGTTGCTACCAGACACCTTTTTGTCTCCGCTGTATTTGCATCTTTGATGAAAAGCATACTTTGGAGGCAAACTAAGGTTTCTTGCTTGTGCCATGTGGGTTAGAAGAGGAGATGAGGGACAGGGACATTGTCAACCACAATAGCAATGTGGTCCTTGCTGGGAGGAGATGCATGAAGACCATGGGCTGGGGACCAAGCGTGGTCTTCATACTTTTTAGAGCGCATAAAAAATGGACCATGTGAGCATCCTGAGTGTGAAAAAAGATAATATAGAGAAGCAAAAAGACATTGCACTGAGCAGAGCTTTCTATAGGCTTAGGATATTTTCTGTTTCCAGAAGCCGGGTATGGTGTAGTGCAGGTCTGGTGACTAGTGCACTACTTTATCCCAACTTAATGCAGCCCAAGTGAGGTGAATGTCAACATTTGTGGAATAAGCTACTTTATACATGAACAAAGGCATCCAAAGTTGACTGAAGACCATTCATGTTAACTAAAATGCCAACAACATAAAAGAGAGACTAACAAGACAATAGTAAAATAATATTTGGAAGCAATCTCAGCTAAAGAAGGAACACAAGATTCTCTTTTTCCAATCGTGCAAAATACAGGGGCATTTTATTTCCACTACTGTGTGCCCAGAGCCTAATAGTCACTGTATCACCCCATCACTGAGAGGTGGAAACAGACACCTGAGCAAAAGCTGCCTGCAAAGAGGAATTTCCTTAGACACCGCATTTTGGAGATGCTGAATGATCCTATTATAGACTTATCAAAGCAGTGGGGATTAGTAGAGATAAAACAACTTTCAGTACTGGTCTCTGCCTTTCTTTGCTCCTTTGTTTGTCTAAATAGCTGTTTTGGTGAGTGCAGAGAAATAATAGGAGGCAATTATTGCTTCATGTAATGTTCCATGTTTTGTTTTGTAATCCTTCAGTTCTGTTTATTTTCATTTTAAGCAAAAATGTTCCCCCTGGAATATTATAATCGCCTTTTAGCTTTCCAATGCTTTCCTTTTGCAGAAGGGCTCCTGGCTTTGTATGCACCTGATGGCACCACAAGGTTAGCAGCATCCCCAGGGCTTGGGACATTGAATGCTCGTTGTCTGGGCTGCAGCTCTGAGATCCAGACACAAAACAGTGGGAACAAATCCACCCAGCAGCTCAGCGCAGAGAGCTCCCTCACTGGCATCCCTCTGTGGCATCCGTGGCTCAGCTCCTTTCACCTTCAGCAACCCATAGAGAGATTTTGAATGGTACAGAAGAAACAGAGGAAACCAGAAAGCTTTTCAAAAGCAGCTTTTTGAGAACTTTGAAAAATCTGACCTTATTTGAGCTTTTAGTCATCTTTTAGACCCTGAAAATTTCTATCCATCCTCTCCTTAGTAGGTGATCTTGTCTAAAATCTCCTTAGGAAGACCTAGTGGGGGGTTCATTTGTGCTTTTCTCCATTTCCTTGCCTTATCCCTCCAGCCTCTCCTTAGGAGGAACAAGGAGATCTCCTAGAAGCATTCCTGTCATCTGAGTGCTATTAATTAGGGCTACTGGGGTCTGGAGGTACAGGCTTTTGGGGGGGGGGGGGGGAAGATTTTGCCCCAGTAAATCTCTGTCAGAACATAGTTCTGCAGGTAGCACTAGGGATTAAAACTGGGGTGACATCAGCTATTTCTACTGAATGTGCCTCCAGTGGCTGAATCAGTCCCCTTTACGTGAAGCCCTAAAAGTCAGGTTGCTGGAGATGGCATCCCAGTAGATTTAAGAGCTGGTGCCATCATATATGCTGTGTATCTACTGATTGAGGCACTCCAGAAGTGGGTCTGCTGACTTAGTATGACTGCCTGGATCATAAGATAATGAAATCTTATATTTGCTTGGGAGAAAACACGCCTGCTCCAAGTACACAGCCTATGTTTAGAAGGGCAGTAAGAGAGCCAGCCCTTTCTGAGGTATGTTTGCATTTGGTGCCACTTTGCAGCAAAAAGGACAAATTATCACCTGTTTACTCCCTCCACTCTTCAAGTCCTTAAAGAAGGGATGCAAGACCACAGAGCTGTTTTGTGATCAGGTACCTCTATAACCACAGTTAACAGACTGCAACGGCTAAACATATTTAACTTTTGCTCATATCGCACAGATGACTGCCTATAATCACAATAATATTTGCATGACCCTGTGTTGCCAGGCTATAAGTATAAGCCTGTGAAGAGTTGTGCAGAAGCTGGAGAGGAAGGACATGTTTAAGCCTTTGCTGGCTCAGGGCCTTAAATGATGGACAAAAAGTGGATGAAGGTGCCAAGGATGGAAGATCATCCATGGTCAGCTGGGAGGCAGAGGGTTGGTGCCTCCTACACCGATGCTTCTCCAAGGTGGCAGTGTACGATCTCCAGACCCCTCCTGCAGCTTAGTCTGGAGCATCACCAAACCCAAAAGGTACACCTGAGCAGGGATGTGAATCTCACCAATTTGAACTCCATCTATTCTGACACAAAGGCACCCCAAACACTTAACCTAGTTATGCCATTATTTGAGGAAAATACCACTCTTCAAGGCAACAGGCTTGTTGGACTTGGTGGACTGTTAACTTCAGCACAGGGATGCTCCCATGGACATTAAAAATAAGCACACAAGTGTTTTGCTGAGCTGAAAGGGCTTTGCCACTTATGATTTTGAAATACCAAGAGCAGCTCGCTTGTTCTGCCTGGAGTGTCTTTGTCTCATTCGTGCAAGTTAGTTTTGTCTGGCTCTGTAAGTCCTGCAGCTGGTCCTGGGGAATTACACGGGCCAGCACTCAGCGTTGGCTTGGTGGGTTTTCTCTGCTCGCTCATATGCCGACAGCAGTAAACAAAACCGGGTGCCTGGGCTGAGTGTTCATAGCGGATTAAACACCAAGCCTTAACCGATACTTATTGACAGGCTTTCGCAGCAAAGAGAGGACAGGTGACAATGTTCAAGTAATATACATAATAAAGCTTTGGAGAAGTGTGCTTGGGAGCTGGGGGTGGGGGATAGGAGACAGGAAAATAATGCATAATTCACAAGGCAAATTAATCAGTCCTCTTTCCTCTGCCTGTTGCAATTATATGGAATACTAGTAACCATGAGGTTACTATTTATTATTATTATTATTACTTTTATACCAGGACGCTGAACAGTGGGGATGGTGATATCTGAGTGAGGACGAACTGAAAGCTGCAGTCACATTTAGAGAGGTGCCTCACCAAGATTTCTATCTAGTTGTGCTTTCATTGTGGAAAGGGCTTTTTTTCTCTTTTAATTCTTTCCCCTTTAGATTGGTAGGGAGTTGTGGAAAACGGAGGGTGGGGGGTGGTGCGCGTTAGAGCAGAGAGATTGGGTAAAATTATTTTCCTTCATGCTTGGCTAGGCCCCAGTGTGAAAAAGGGGACCCAGCTTAGGGCTGGTGGGAGATTGCAGATAAAAGCAGCTTCATTTCTAACTGACCTTCCATGCGTTCGGCCTGGCTGGGGGAAGGTGGGGGAAGGAACAATGAGAGCCACCTCCAGAAAAACCATCCATCAATACCTACACCACGCTCCAGGGAAATGAGGTGGGGAAAAAACAAAAGCAAGAGGCAGGGCTTTGCCTGGAAAGACTTTTGATAACCTCCATAGCAAGAGAGGCAGAGACTGGGGAGAAGAGGACATTGCTGTGGCTGGGGACACAGGGGGCCTCTGTGACATGTCACAGTGTGGGATCCATGCAGGTATAGGAACCCTGTTCCAGAGGCTGTCAAAGAAGACGTCTCAAAGCAGCCAGATGATCTAAAGAAGTCAAATCTAAGTTCTGATTCAACAAAAGATTACATCCAACACTCATCATCCATTATTAGCAAGAACGGGTGCGGGCTTGAAACACATGCACAAGCACCCCTGTCACTCAACCTTTGTACATCAAGACCCTTTGGAAAACATATGCATTTTGTATCTTTGAAGGAAACAAAACTTTGCATTACTTTGAATGTGATGTGAACTGAGTGAAGGGTCTGATGGAGGATGAAAGGTGCAGGTGGTCTTGATTGGTGCAGGTGATCCTGATTGGTACGGGTGGAGGGAGTTCACCAAGAGCTTGATGGGTTTACATAGGGCCTCAGCAAGGCTTCTTCTCTTCTGCTTGAGAATGGTGCTGGCTGGATCTTTCCTGGAGGTAAGGTGGCCTCTGCTGTGTGTTCTGGAGGAGAGATATTTCTTCATGCAGACCTGGAGTAGCCGCAGGTTAGCAATCAAGCATAACACGGTCTCTTTCTTTTCCATTGCGCAGGGTAAGACCAACCTGGGAGGCTTCTCCGGGGAGGCTCTGGTAGTCATTGCCTTAGCAGAACAGTGTCTTACTGGGTTTAATAGTCTATGGCAAACAGTATTTGAGATGGGGTGTGCTTTTTGTAAGGATGGGCAAATCTGCCCGTGGTAAAAGTAGATGTGAGCCTTTTGGGATGGAAACAGTTGTAATCCTGTTACATTCAGAGAAAAGGCCTGGGCTTTCTGTGGTGTTAAATTTTGGTGCTGCTTTGAATCCCTCTTTCATATCCCTGAGCAGTTGGGGTGTTGTTTCAAGTAGGAAAGGTGAGAAGAGCTGTTCTGCCCTGAGTGGGGCTGGCTATAGGCTCTTAGATTGCGGTGCCTGATAATGATGGCAATAAGCATATATTGCTCTTTTCTCCACTCCAGTGACTGCCATGAGCAACTCAAAGTGCAGATCCTTCCTGGCATGTGTATGATGATCACAGTGTGGGATTCACTCAGTGATTTCCTTTAGATTACTGAAAAAGCTCTTTTTCCCCTAAATCCTAGGCTTGTTTTTCCATTTTGCATAATGTTCTCAGCACCTGGAGGTCCTGATGGCAATTTCAGGCTCTCATTAATGGCGATGTAGCACCACCATCCTCTTGTTTGCAAAGCATCTGCAAGCCCAGTTAATTCTGCTGAAGTGCCAATATTGTCATGGAGCTCTTTAACACCTTTGTCTGTAGGTTCCCTGTGTGTATTCGTATTTTTGGTGAAGAACTGAGGTGGGGTTTGGAGGTTTGCACAAGGAAGAGCCTGTGACCTGAGAATTCCTTCCTTTCACTTACGTAAGGCTCAAAAGCCAGATGTAGAATCTATCAGCAGAGCACACATCCTTGTGAGCAGACTGTTTTTAGAAGCAGATTTGAGACAGAAAGTAGCTGTGAAAATGCTTCCTTGTATTTTGCTTTGTATGTAAAATCAAAAGGGGGTATAAACCCTCTTTTAACTTACATTTCCACTGACATAAGAGGCTCCTCAGACCTTGCTGCTGCTCTTTGAAGTGTCTGTGCTCAGATGACTGTTTTGTTGAAATGCTGAAGACATCTTCTCGGTTTCTGGCCCTTAGCATAGTCCTACCAGAGTATGCTTTCAGAGACACCTGCCCCAAGACAGTCCTGGCCAGTGCAATTAGAACAAAAGGTCTCTAATTAGACAACAGACATCTTTTTGGATTGTGCTACATTGGAGAGGGTAGAAGGACTTTTGCTTTGCTTGTATATAAATGGTGTGGGTAATCAGGAGATTATTTCCTCAGCTTTTCTTTGAAATGCACTGGAAGTTGAGCAATTGTCTCCCTTGGAAGCCCTGGGTTGTTATTCCCATAAAACTTGAAGTATTACAACTTTAAACATAAACATCAGGTACATTTCAACTGACTTCCCAGCTGAAGATAAGAAACTTCATTGTGTCTCCTTCTAAAGGCTTGCATGTGGAAACAGCTAACAGAGACATGCTCTCAGATATACAATGGTTTCTGTATATAAAGTGAAAGGAGTAACACTTCCTTCTGTTCCTACCAAGAGCTCTTCCAGCCTCCTGCCATTGAGAAATGAGCTCAGCTTATAGGCATCTTTGCTGAACCACCCAGGTGCCTGTGCAGGATTAAGCTGAAATAGGGGAGGTTTTGCTAAGCAACCTACCCTGTTGCCTGGGGCAGCAGGGGGGTCCACGGGTGCAGGTGGGTCATCTCTCTGAGATGCTTTATACTGCTGAGCTTGGAAGTCCTCCAGAAGATATCCACTGGATGTTTCTGGATCCTGGCAGTTCCTGTACTCTTTTTAGAATCCCTTAAATTCTGCAAATTTCTATTGCTTCAGATCTTCTGTCCTCATCCTTGACTGACCCTGACTACAGGACCAGCCCAGTGAGTCCTTTAGAGAAAACAGATGAGGAGTAAGAATTTCTTGTTTTCCTTCACACACACACACACACACACACACAAAATACATATATACAGGCAGGTTTGTAATTTCTCTAGAGTGGAAACTGCACCTGCCAGTCTGTTTCCTCATGCCTCGGCTCCATGAAGTACTTCAACACAATTCTAACTTGAATTGCATGAGTTTTCCTGCCTGGCTTCAGTTGGATGACTCATGGGTTTCTGAGTTGGTCACATACTTCAGGGTCCTGCTGAATTGAATGGAGCCCTCGAGCTCAAGGATGAAAAATCAGAGCTAGTGTCAAAGAGACACTAGCTCTGATTAGCAGAACAGCTAGTTCTTCAGCATCTCGCCATCCTGCCTTCAAAACCTGCCTCTTGCCCAAGCTCGTGTCAAAATGTTCTGCTTTGGAAGTTGTATTACAGTTTTGTTTGATGAATAGCAGTACAGAGATGTGCTAGGTACTTCATAATGTTTCACATCAGAAACAAGACCTTTTTAGTTTAAAAAGTGTTTTCTCGGTGTCTTGTTAATCTCTTGCTGTCTGGATGGAGGAAATGTTCTTGCATACCTGAGTTTGCCTAAACCTTTATTTCCAATCTTAGAAGGGCATTGGCAAAGTTAAGAGAGCCTTGATTTTGAGTTAAGTTGGAGAGACACTTTCGATCAAGTATTAAAGCTGATGAACTCTACTGGCAGTAGACCCCCGTGATGACCCTGAGTGGGCTGCAGTGTTGGGGGAGACTGCTTTGCCTTCTGCACTGTCAGCACCAGAGGAGTAGCAAATGCATTTGCAGGACTAAGAGTTCAATAGGCTGTAAAATCAAATCTACACACTCAGTGTTGCCTCTCCCTGGTGCTTTCAAGTTTCCAGGGGAAATTTTAGCTGGTTCTTGTAATTTCACTTTAGGCCTTAACCATCTTCTAGGAAGCCTAGTGAGATCATTTGTCCTGTTCCTTGCAGACACTGGGTTTCTCATTCCTTCTGGGTTTGTCTTGATTCAGGTGTCTGCTCAAGCCTGCACATGAAATGCAGAGCACAGCCTGGATTTCTCCTGTTTCTGCCCAGGGAAATAATGCAAATCTCTTTATACCACCTTTCACCAAAGGAGGGGAGCAGTGAAGTTTGGTTACATCCTGAGGAAGGATTTTGAGAGGTATATACTCTGGTCCTGTTTTTAGGTCCTAAAGACAAATGGGAACAGTTGTTCCCACCATATAAGCTGGGCAGAGCATAAGGGGCTCTGAGACATGGGCAGCAGGGCAAATGCTGCTCTTTTTCCATCCTGTTCTCGTTAATAATAGTTGACTGACCTGTTCTTCCTTTACCCCACAAGTCCTACTTAATGTCAGCAAAGCCTGCTAGCTAACATAGTTTTAAAATTTAAAAAAAAAAAAAATTACTTGTTATCAATCCAATTTCTATGAGAGGAAATTCTATTAAGTCCCCAGAAGAAAGTGTATTATAGCTGTACTTTCAGAAGCAGACCCTTGAATAAACTTTTTTAGTTATTTCACATAACTTCCATTATGACTGTCATTATGAAGCAGATGAACATTTTCTTGAACAATTAGGCGTGGGTGTGTGGAATAAAGACTGCAGTTTGCCTGAGATCATTGAAACCTATCTGTTTGGGTGATTCATTTTCTTCCAACTAGGCTGCCCATAATAAGCTTTTCTTCTCTGGCTTTGTCTTGTTTCGTATTTCAGTTGGCCACAATGCCCAAAGAATTGAAAGAATGTCTTTCCCCATGTCCTTGTGCTGCGACTGAGCCTGGCAAATAAAAATAAAAGATATTTATTTTTTTTTTTTTAAAGCAGAAAAGAGAAAGAGGCAGCAAAGCAGACTAAAAATAAAACAAGTGCTGTTTCTTGCGGTGATGGTAACTTGGGGCATGAGGGCCTTGAGAAATGTCTGAGGATGGGAGATGAGCTCTTTCTGCTTCTAATTGGGAGTGAAAAGACACCTGGGTGCATATAAGAGATAGGTGGCAGAATATCTCTCATTTTGGCCTGGCAGTTGTATCAGGTGGAGCCACATGCAGGCATGGGGATGCACAGAAGACCTAATCTCCTGCTTCTATGACTACAATAAAGTAACCTATGTTAGTAAAGTGTTCCTGGTGACTGGTGGAAAATTCAGCTATCCAGTGTGCATGTGTGTTATGAAGGTTTAACACCTGGTATGCAGACCTGAGATCAAGAAAATGGTATGCAAAATATCTTTACAAATACAGGGTGTCCTCTCTGCATCTTCACTATGCTCTCACCCCGTGGTCTGGGATTGCCAATAGAGGTGAAACAAGCCCAGTTTAATGCTTTGCTCAGTTCATTATTTCCCAACAGCTTTTCTTTGGAGCTGATCAGAACGTTGTGCCAACCAGGCTCTGCTGTTGATGTGTCCAGCGGCAAGGAGCCCCAGCAGGTTCCAGTGTCTGTCCTGGTAAAATCATCTCCTCCTCAGCACGTCTCCTTCTCCCTAAGGGCAACAGCTTACTCCTCCCATACTCCATACTGCACAGACTGCTTTAGCAACTTCAATTTCAAATGAATTAACCTGAATTTCCTTGTTTTGGTAGTTGTCTTAAAGCATGCTGTGAAATCACGACTGCACCTCATACTCTCCTCTTTAGAGAGCTTGTAAAGCAGTTAGGTGTTTTTTCCTGCACAAACAATGTACATAAATATACCTGAATAATGAGATGACAAGCAGATTTATTGAGGATGTTGTCACTTGACAATCGAGTAGGCTTGTAGTGGGCTAAAGCCTATCTCCATTGTTCATCCAAAATTAAACATCAGCCTACTAGCTGATCCCTTGCTGTTTTACCTCTTGTTGCAAGCAAAACAACAGTAGTACAGCTAAAACTCCTGTCTAGTGGCTAGGACTGTAAGTGTTTCATTATGGTTATTGCCCAAGTGTACACAGCAGCCTGATATTTAGTCGGTACTGCTGCAAATGATATGGAAATATCCTGG